GATCAGTCCTTAGATGATTGTTTCCTCATCTGTGGTTTATTTTTTTGTTTATCTCTGAAGTCCTTTCTTTGCATTTAGACACAAATATTTACTTTGTTCAGTTCTAAAATGGATCAGTATAATAATAATATATAATTATATATAAACAATATATAATTAAATATATATAATTATATAATAAATAACTATGAAATTATATATCCAAATGTGAGAATATTCTTCAATATTTCTCCCTGATAAATAAATAGGAAGTGAAATCTCTTCATTTTTTTAATTGTTTCCTGGTGTCTTTACTTAAACTCATTCAGTCTGAGATTATTAGCATGCTGCTGTTTGTCTTACATAAACTCTACAGTAATGAAAGTTTCTGATTACAGATGTTTCTATGAATTATATTAGTGCAAATTTCACTTTGAATAACATTAGCTATTGAAATATTGTGAGATTTCATTTTAAATAGCTAAGGTTTACAAGTTCTTTTCTAGATTTCACATCTTATTTTTTGCTTGTCCATCACTAGATATAGCAAGAAAACAGTGTACAATTTAGTAAGGAAATCCTATTTAAGATATAATCAGCATTCTCAATATCTGTAATCACTGTAGTAACATAATGCATTTTGCTTCTGTTTTCTTCAGTGAATAGCTCCTTGGATCCTCCAGACTATCTCTTAGAAGCTATTGCCTGATTTGTTTTCAAAATATAAATCAATTTTAGCAACTAGTTTCTTTCCCCTTTTTTTGATCATCTCAGAAGATGACAGAATGGTTAAAGGTTGGAACAGACCTCGGGTTCAGCACCTTACTCAGACTGGTTGCCCAGGCCCATGTACAGACAGCATTTGAATATCTCCAAGGAGGACACTTTACATCCTCCCTAAGCTACCTTTGCCAGTGCTCCATAGTAAATAAGTGCTTTCTGATGGAACCTTCTTTGCTACAGTCTGTGCCCATTTTTCCTGTCAGCAGGCATAGAAAGAGCCTTTTGTCTTTCTTGCCCACTCCTTCAGGTATCTATAGATACTGATGAAATTCCCCTGTGCCTTCTATTCCCTATGTTGAATAGTCCCAGTACTCTCAGCTTTTCCTCACAAGAAAGATGCTCCAGTCCTGTAAATCACCTTTGCAGACCTCTGCCAGACTTTCTTCAGTAGCTCTATTATCTCTTTTGTACTGGAGAGACATGGAGCTACTTTCACAATATAGAATTTTACTGAACCTTTTAAGATATTTCAACCACAAGCTTAAAGTAAGACACATTAAGATCCCACTCCTCTTATTCTAATTAAGTAACATCAGATGGCAAAATTTTTGCATCTTAGCATAAGTTGATCCTAATACACAATAAAAGAATATGGCAGAGAAGCAGTTAAGTTTTTTCCAGCTTGAAGGGCATTCTAATAATAAAGACATCCAGCATAGTTACCTTACAGGAAACTAGCTTGTGCCAGACTACAATTTCTGAGACATTTTTACACTTCAGACATTCACCACTGATTGTTCCACAAGGGATTAAAAACTGGTTAGTAGGCTTACTACTGTAAACAGAACAATAAACAGCCATTTCCAAAAGTGGTGTTGAATTAGTCTATCTTCATGCAGCTTATATACAAGTCCACAGAGGGCTTCAGAACTCTTCACACTGCTAAGACTAATGAAATTAGTGTTATGCAATTTAGAGTAAAAAAAATCATTTCTGAAAATATCCATTTATTTTCCTATACTGAATTGAAGAAAGCAAGAAGAGAGGAAGGAAAAGAAGGATAACACTCTTTTCATTCACTCATCATTTCTTTTTCCATTTTAGACTACAAGATTATTTTATCTGCTCTCAGTTGAATTATAATTAATAGCATTAATAAGGTGCTTAGCCTACATTGAAACAAATTTAATATTATCCAGAGAATAATTCTCTAAGGCATGTCACATACAGTGACATTATAACTGAATGCCTTAAACAATGGATTCTGTTAAACACATATCAGTTTGCAAAAATAGTAAAAATACACAGACCTAAAGTTTATTCAAATACTTTATATTTACTATTTTTGACATGGACTGTAATCATACTCTTCAATGTTGGTTTAACAAGTCACAAACGTGAAACAATCAATAGAGTATTTTACTTATGTTTTATATCTGTTTTTCACCTCCTAGCATGGAGATTGTCTTTTAATTAAATTATTGCCCAATTAGGTAATTTAATTTAAATAAATAAACAAATAAAAAGGGAGAATTGTCTTTCGTTTAGGATTCTTAGTCAGAGTGGACTTCTCTGCCTTACTTTTAGAAAAGAAATTGTTCTTCCTCTTGCATATGACAGCTAGAGCTTTCTTTCTGACACTAATTGGTCTCAAATCAGGGACAGTATTTAATTTGCATTTCATGGCCCAATTTGATATAAATTTTCCTTTACTCTTATTTGACAACTGTAACACTGTTTCTGTTGTTCTCCTCCAGGTTTTTCTTCTTTTTTTTTTTTTTCTTCTCTTTTTAGTCATCCATAAAGGACTGATATTTCTCAACACTCAACAAATTGTACACCGGAAATTTCTATTAGAAATGAATTGTAGTTGGTGATTGGCTTCCTGGAAAGTGTCAAGCATTTTTGATGATATACTATAATCATGTTTTCCATACATTCATTATGTATTTATTATGTTTATAATATTATATATTATTATATTATGTTGTTATTTATGTAAAATTATTATATTATATTATAATAAATATTATATATTTATTATGTACTATCTTTAATTAAAAGATTGTGTTGCATATTGCTATATATGGCATAGTTTATTCTTATTTATTTTGCAAATTACATTCCTTTGTGCATAAATACTAATTTTTGTTTAACAAATGATAATACAACCCGTTGTAGAAAGCTAATAGTTTTCTTTTTTTCAGCTTTTCCAGACAATTTTGTTTAATTTTTCTACTAATGTCTTAAGAAGTACTCAAGGAAATCATGGTTACCGGCATCAGTATATATAAAAATAAATGTACTTTGTCTGATATAGTTGATTCATTAAGACTGGAATTTTCAGTGGAAAATAATGGAAATAGTGCTCTCATCAATTAAAAAAAAAAAAAAAAAAAAAAAAAACTATGTTTTTCTTTCAGTCTCTATTAGAATGTTAGACATAGCCTTCTTTTATCATATTAATAATAGAGGAACAAAATAGCAAAGAAACTAAACACATCTGCTGCCTCCCGGAGCCAATATGCATTCTGTCCAAAGAGAGGAGTCTTATAAGACATATTACACACCAAATAGTCAAATCCTCAGCTGAGACAAAATTTGGCATTTGTACACTAGTTTAAATTAGCCAAGAACCTGTTTCCTAATTGGTCTAGCCCTACTAGTTCTGATGCTCCTATAATAAAGGCCAATACTAGAAGAAACTCATGTTTCTCTTCTCTTGAGTTTTTCCAAAATTCCTATGCTATCACTACTACATTTTTATATCTGATTTATCTCAATCATTCCAAGTCACATTTTGGTGTCCTGCAGTTTGAAACAGTTTGTGTGACACATCTCTTAAAAGCCTGTGGTTATTCTGGCTTTCAATCTGCTATCACCTCTGCATCATTGGATAGTCTGAAGCAGGAGCTGCCTAGGTTTCCAGTGTGTTTAAACTCCAGAGCCACTCTTCTCAAGGGGGGAGCAAAACCCAAAGACAGCAAATTGTCAATTGGGCTAGAACATCCTTGCTAACATGGAATAGAAAAAGAAATAGAAAAATCAAACCCAGGCAGTGAAACAAGCTTACCACAAAGACAATGCAAACCGAAATGACAGGACTCATGAATACCCCTATGCAGTGCAAACTCTTGATTTACTAAATACAGGTTGGCACTGACGGAAGTGATAAAGATTCAGGATGTAATACATATTGAATTAAATCCTATTTCTCTTTACAAAATCAGACATACATAAGAGCTTTTTTTTCTACTTAGTCCATTTACCCCTCATACTGAAAGCCATTCCTTACAAATGCATACAGTTTCTCCCAAATAAGGTTTTTTCCCAAATTGTTTATTTCTGCAAGTATTGTACTGAATAAACTACAAATCATTAAATATACCTTGTTTTTGGTCCTCTAACTTCTGCAACTAGAATTCTTGATGCAAAAGATGCAGAAGAATATACACAAGGTTTATCCACACATGCTTGCATAGTTTAAAAATACGAGGGCTACTCCAAAACCAGTGCCTCTTAATTTATTGTGTTGGTCTACATCAGAGGCAGATGGTGGCATGGCAGTAATGGTTAAACCTTCCCACCAACATTCCACTACATTTTGCTGCTGTGTGATAGATGGCATCAGAGGGACAGTCTGACAAAATGGCATTTGACATGGAAGTGCATGTAAAGCAAAGCGGGTGGAATTTAATTCCTCCATGCAGAAAAAATGGCATCCGCTGACATTAATCAACACTTGCTGGACATTTATGGACACCAAACAGTGAATGTGAGCACAATGAGGAGAAGCATGGTGCATTTCAGCAGTGGTTACAGCTACATGAAAGATTAGCCAACTTCCAGATGGCCACGCAGATTTTTATAAGCATGGCATGCAGGCTCTTGTTCGTCACTGGTAAAAATGCATAGCTAATGGTGGCTTATAGATGTGAATTTGCTCTATCAAGTAGAGTTATTTTACTCTTAGTATCTGTTGTAGCTTCCATGGAAATAAATAGGAGGCATTACCTTCAGAGCACTCTACATCCATGTGCACCAAAGCTGAACTCGTGAACAAGGAAACACCATTTTCATGAAGAAAGTCCACAATGATTTACCGTTATAGTCAAAGAAGAGAGTAAGTATTTGTAAGACATAACAAATTTAATCACAGAGTAGTTATTATATTTTATCTATCTTTTTCCCCCTAACTATTAGGCTCAATTATGTGTAACATACTACAGATATCTACATTGCAGAATTCTATGTTTGATGGACATGCCTTCACTGATACTAAACTAAGATCAACATACCTACACTCCAATCCATTTCTTCCACAGCATCTCCATATAATCCATGCCTGCTTTTTCCTCTGAACATTTTTGAAGCATATAGAGCAGTATGGACATGAAGATAAGACAGGACAAGAAGAAATGGTGCATTATGGTTCCTGGGGAAAAAGAAAAACAAAACAAATAACTACAATCATAAAAAACTTAGATTTAGTCTATTTTATTAAAAAATTTTGAAGCAGAATTGTTTTGGAGCTCAAAAAAACCCAAAATGAATACAAAGTAGGATAAAGTATCTGATTACAAGGTAAATCCTGAACACACAACAAACACACAGAAAGTAAAAATTTTCAACTAAGTGCACACTGAATTGAATGCATTAAAATAAATAAATAAATAAACGAAATTAATCAATTACTGTTTGCTATCTCTGTAGAAAGAGATTTTATTTAAAGCCAGGAATCTAGCAGATTCTGGCTACAAGAATCTATTAGTTTTAGAAGTATATGTTTAAGAGCCCTAATGCAACTGCTGTCCAGAAACATACCCATTTAGTACAATGTGCATATGTATATACAGTCACTTTCTTCAACAAGGTCGTATGGAAGGTAATAAACTAACTAGACTATTGTAAGAACCTGGGCCAATACCATAATATCAGACTGTATCAAACCAAATATACTAGCACTTTCTCCTTTATCCAGACTAAGGTTTATGACAAAATCTTCTCCTGTTATTTAATGAGGTATTTTTATGCATATGATTAGCACGTAACAATAGAAATACATTGCATTTTTATAAGCTGCATCAAGGCATAAATATTTTTAAAATGCATATTAATACAAAGGAATTGTTCTCCTCTCACTGTAATAAAGTCTCTATTGTTTTAATTCTACTTCTTGAACTGAGATGAAGGAGTGCAATAAACAGACTCTGTAAATTTTGCTGTTCATGTGATACGTCAACATGATATTTACGATCAGTTCCAGCAGGCTGTGAAAGAAAAGCTCAAATAAGAACATTTCTTTATGCATTATTTATAGAACTTTACTTTAAAGTGTGCAGTACCAGCTGAATTTACTACTATACGCTGTAACAACATTTGTAATGCATTACACATACTGTAAATTTCAGTTGAATCACAAGAGCACTACCCAGAGAACTTGTCTGAATCTCACCTTAAGACACTCAGCTAATTATAGAGCACTTTTGGGGTTATTTACTGTATTTTCCCTTGTCACTTCTCAGGTGGATTATATATATGATTCATGCTAACATCAAAGGAAAACTAGATAGTTCCTCATGCAGTTAGTTCATCCATCTTTTAAAGGGATGGAAGAACAATCCAGATGTGCACATGCAAATTATTCATTTAAAAAATATGTATTCTAATCTATCAACAAAATTCATAAAAGAGATTCATATGACATCAATATTTTGACTGATATTTTGAAGGAAAATTAAATATAGTATGTTTTGATGTATTTATCTTCTCTCATGGATTGGATTTGCTCTGGCAGAAGTTGCATGGTTAAAACTTTCTTATTTTACCTAGATTATTCACTGGATAACTGTTTCTGGATGGGAAGTTTTCTCCATGAATATATCTCCTTTTTTAAAAAGAGGTCAAGTAATCACAGAATAAATAGAGTATCATGTGGGAAATTGAAAAGGAATATTTGAATTCCTTTCAGATAACTTTTCATATATAACCTTTATGATCTCAGTACTGATAAATGTATTATAAAGTAGAGATTCCCAAAAATAAAAATATAATATTTCTCATAAAATATACATTTACCATGAAGTTTGTATTGATTGTTATTTGGTAGGTCATATGTGTGGGAAATTTTCATTATTGTAGCAAAAATAATAAAGGATGCTTCTGAGTCAATTACAAAGACTGAAAATGTCAGCATTTCAAATAAAAAAGATGTACATGTATAAATTTAATGTTCATTATGTGTCTTAACCTAACACTGACCCTTCATTAAAGAACATTTCTGCAAGGCAGTTGTTTCGTTGCTTTTTACAATCTCAATTCTTTTACTGCATCTTAATCTTTAGCTTTTTCCTAAATCACAGTTCACTGAATTGAGTGCAATACATAAATTTTAGGGTGGAATACCACAAAAAAATACACTTTTTACTTGTAACAGTGCAGGCATGATTTACTTTTCATGCAAACTGTCTTGTTCTGATTTTACAGATTGTGCATACTTGTAAATGTATATGTGTATTGCTAAAGTAAGTCATTTTCAAAATACAGCAATTCTTTTCTTTAACGGAACTGATATAAAGATCATACTTTCATAAAAGGCATCCAATCAATGTCTAACATACAGGGGCACTAAATCATTCTCTCCTTTGCAACCCAAATTGACAGGTTCTGATTGACAGCTCACTGTCAGCTGGAGAAGCGTCTCACCTATTAATATCCTATAAAAGATCACAGGCAGCTATTTATCTCCTGCCAAAACTCTTTGAGGAGAATTACAAAAGACTACTTTTAATATGACCTTGAAATGGAATGACAATATCAGCTAGTAGGTAGGAGAGATATCTGACAATAACAGCTTCATTCTCCTGAATCACTTCAGTAAACAGCTTCTTCAAAGATGTATCATCACTATCTTTTACACACTTCAGACACAGGGAACTTCAGCTTCTAAAGATCTGAGGTTCACTTACCAAAATCTAGCAAGGAATTTTTATCAAAACACAAGTCACATTCTTTTCAATCTACTGAATAGCAAGATAAATTACATGGTTCCAACTTATGACATTCCTTAGAATACACGTACCTGACACTGAAAACATTTAAATGCATCACACTGCTGGTAATACCACTGCACTATATGGTATTAAATTCTGCTTATTTACTGTGAAGAGTCTTTGTGTCATTCAAATATTTAATTCAGGCTTGAGCTATTAAAAGGACAGCTTTAATATGAAGTCACCCCTCACCTAACAGGTCCTTAACTCTGTTGTTGTTCTTGTTATTTCATTTCAAGTATTTGCTGAACTAAAAGCTCCCTGGGTACTTCTGTTTGTCTTCGTAAGCACTGATGTTCATCCAAAACCACTGTGGCAGAGCAATAGGCAAGGTTTAGTATTTGTAGGCCTGTGGCTGTCAAATCAGAGGGACATTTTCTGCATGATTTAATTCCGGACGCTAAGTGGGAACATGACATGACAGGGCTTAGTTTTACTTGCCCTCAATAAACTCTATATTAATCTTTAATACGATGAACAAGTACTACCTTTCTGAACAAAAAACTTCTGCTAATGTAAAATTGTCCTCAAATTCCATCCTAAAGTACTAAATTTTCAAGCTACAGATTCTATAGTGGTGAAAGTATTCACAGCAGCTATGAAAGTAGACATACCTACCTTTGCCTGAAAATCATATGATGAATGGCTTTGGGTTGGAAGAGACCCTAAAGTTCATCCAGTTTCATGCCCCCTGCTATGGGTAGGGTTGCCACCCAGATCAGGCTGCTCAGTTCCCCATCTAACCTGGCCTTGAACACCTCTAGGGATGGGGCATTCATATTTTCTTTGGGCAGCTAGTGCCCATGCCTCACCACCCTCTGAGTAAAATCATCCATCTGAACAGCTCATCTAAATTTCATCTTTTTCTGTTTAAAACCATTCTCCTTTGTCCTAAAACTATCAGACCATGTAAAAAGTCACTTTCCACCTTGTTTATAAGCTCCTTTTAAGAACTGGAAGGTCACAGTGAAGGCTCCCCAGAGCTTTCTGATCTCCAGGCTGAACAAGTTCAGGTCCCTCAGCCCTTCTTCAAAGGAGAAGTTTCCAGATCTCTGACAATCTTCATTGCACTCCTCAGGAAACACTTCAACAGTTCCATGTCTTTCTTGTGCTTCATGTCTATTGAGCTAGACAAACACTGTGCTTTATTAAAATCTTGATTTCAGTACAACATGCCAACTGCCTAATATTAACACCTAGTGACACATGGAAAAATTCCAAACAAGTCTGCTAGAGTAGATGAAAATAAACCTAGATATGTGACAGTCTTTCAAGCACTGAAATAGAATAGATAAGTAGTTTAAAAAAAATAATAATAACTACTATCACAAATTTTCAACATTATGGCTATGTAATTTATGACTGGAAAAAAAAATCTGCATGAAAATTTCTGAATATCATCTTTACTATTAAAACAAAATACCACCTTCACCTTAAAAACAAAATGTTATTAATTGTCATCAGCTATCTGAATTTGTTAGGAGAGAGATTCTGTAACATAGAGTGATACTTCTGTCTTACTGGTTTCTAAGATATTAAAAAAAGGTCTGGCATTTTCTAATTTGGATTGTCTGTGCCACTGGTTATCTATTAAAGGATATGCTGAAAAGACATGAGTGACAACCACACTGAACTTAAAATGAAATAATTAGCATCCATTTGACTTTCAGATATGCTGTAATGTCTAGAGAATATTTTGATATGTTTAAAATATATACATGCACTTGCTCTTGGGGAAAAGTAAAATTAGAACTAACATACAGTGAGTTGACCTGCCCACTTACAATTACAGTGAGCAATTAAATTTATATTTGTTTGCATACATCAGATCTTTCATATGAAATTGTACATATTCTTCTGAAGTGTTATTTCCAAGTTCAATATTGTATTTACTCTTTCTCTGTACCTATGAGCAAATAAAAGAGTAATAAACATATACAAGACCAAGGAAGAAAAAATACTGTCACCCTTCCAAAAAACAGAGTGAAGAAGAGTAAGCATAACAATGCATAGCTATTCTGTGAGCAAATTCTAAGGATTGAAAAATATCAAAACTGATGAGTAGATATAGATAGACAGATAGATAGTCAGATAGATAGACAGATAGATAGACAGATAGACAGACAGATAGACAGACAGATAGACAGATAGATAGACAGATAGAAAGAAGTCATAAAGTTGACAGTATGATAGACATAATTAGAAAAGAGAATAATTTCAAGAAAATCCACTGCCTGAACTCTGAAGAGCTTACAAAAACAGGTAATAGGTATAATAAACTTACATAGATGAAATATCTATTTTATGTTATGTGTTGTCTTTTTTATGCACATAACTACATATATATATATATACACATACAAAATTGCATGCGTACACGTCTGCTGTGAAAACCCTTTTGTTTCTTGATTGCCATTCCACTACAAATGGCCAAAGTCAGTAGATAAGTTACAAAAGCAATGGTCTGTGGATACACTGACATGATGTCAAAACTAGTGTGTGAAAGCAAATATTGATTTTGTTGCTCACAATATTATATTGGGCAGATCAGTTCAGTGTACATACTCACACTTTTTCCCAGGAGCAAGTATTATGGCCATATAACTTACATATGAAATCACAACAGGGCACAATTAAGATTGCTTGGGTGCTCTAATGGCTTCACAACACCCTAATATGTTGGGATATATTTTTTTAATTTAGCTTTGACTCTAAAGTGTCTGGTTTATAATTCTCAATACAATTGCAGAATTCCTGTAATGAAGATTATTGTAAATTACTAATATATGCTATTAACCTTCACTTCAATTTTAAATAACTGTTGTCCAGAAATGACTCTGAGAATGGAGGCCAAGTGCTAGCTGATGAAAAGCCTCAACCTCCAGCTGAGTCAACAGAGCTGTGCTGACACAGACCATATTTTGTTTAGCCAGCTTTAAACTTTGACTAAGTTATGCTTTGTGTGCATTATGAGAATGAATAAATAGTGTTACCACTTTTTTAGCATTCATTCTCAATCCAGAATTTACCTGTTTTGAAACTATCATTTTACTGACAATATGTTGAAAGCAATGTATAATTCAGAGATCTTCAAAACACTGTGAATTACTACAGCAAATTAATAGACTTATACAAAAAGGCAGAATCTCCCTACATATATATACAAAAAGAGACATTTCAAACCACCAAAACCTTGGTCACTAACTCTCAAAAACTTCCACAGGTGTGTACATGTGTTCTCGCGCGCATTTATAATAAACAAGTATTACATTGTTAAACTAATTAGAATCCAAATGAGAAAATACATTTATCTATCACCATTAACCAGAGGAAATAATGATGCTTTAGTTTAATTTTGTTTACTCATGAGAGTTAAAGAAATCTGACTTAAAAGATGTTTTCTTTTTGGCGTTGTGAGCAGAGCTAGCCAAATCAAATATTTATAATGAATGAAATGACAGAAAAATTGCAGTAGATAAAGACTTTAGATAGGCATTTTTTTTGCTAGCAATATTGCTGGCTACCACATCCCGTCATTAAGTTCATAAAAATTACCCATTGATTCTTTGGTTTAAGATTGCATTCAGCAATGATATCACGTGAATATATTCATAGTTACTACTGGGTGCAGTTTTCATCATTTAATGGATGCACCAAAACAATGATGAGGAGCAGTTTCTCATTCCAGAAAACTTATAAAGTACAACTCCACATTTTGCTTTCATACAACTAAGTCACATTACAAAATGCTTTTCATATTTTTGGTTACCTGAAATTCCGAATAATGAAAGTTCTAAAAAGTGTTAGAAGTTTAATATATATATATTTAAACATTTTTATTCTGAAATAAATAAACATAAAAAGTTTGTAGTTTTTATAGAGAAATTAATGACATACTGTTGGGAAAAAAAAAAAAAAAAAAGAGATTAAGACAAAGTAGAAAGTGGTGGCTTTCCTCTACACATGCATACACTTTGTTGTAAAACTGTCACTTGACAGTGATTAACTTCAGTCGTGCTTTAAAGAAAAAAATGATAATCTACCTTTTAGGAAGCAATGTCATTGTAAATTGCCATCATTAACTCAAACCACCGCTAGAAACCTACCTTTCTATAAACCGTACAGCTTCTGTTGTCAGCCTCTGAGTAAGATTCTCATAGGATAATGGCTGCTGGATTATCTGATGGTCCCTCATTAAAAAGCAGTTCAGGTGTCGGAAATGATAAAAGAAAAAAATCAAAACTGCAAGTGAAATACAGGTTATTAACAGACAGATGCCTAGTGCTTGGAAAGGTACTTTGAAGAAGCCAATATAATGCACTATTGCCAATGAGACCACGGTGACTCCAAGGATTTGGATTAGGATGACAAGGTACCTCTGAACCCCTTTTAAAAACACGCTGCCTTGGCCAGGCTTGCAGTCTCTAAGGTTGGTCACAGTAAGCCCATAAAAGTAATCAAATCCATGACTGAGGGGGTGGTGACAGAAGTCATTGTTGCTTTCACAGTTCATCCCAAGATGCCACTTTCCTACAAAGAGAGGAGAACAGTAAGTACTTTTGTAGTTAAATAATCAAACTTACATTGTGAGCTATTTCCAAATATGAAACTGTCACTACCTGATACTGCCCCAGCATTTATTGTGTGGATCCCTATTTCCTATATAACTCTCTTTACACATTCATCAAATAATTTGTTTCATATCTGTTCCTCTTTTTAGCTGGAATTAGTTTGGTACCGCTCTTGAAGGAGACCATTAAATTCTGAGTGGGCCAGCAGGTCACTGAAGAGCAGAAGAGCTCTAACACATATTCAGCTTTGAAAATGAAGCCTTTGTGCATGTGTAGTTAAGTCATAGAATAAAAATAACACTGGTTTGTAGTGGCTGCTGCTTTCTGAGAAAGAAAGAATGCAGAGTTACTTAATACGTTATCTGGCAAATCACTCATATTTGACTACTTAAAGAAAATAGAAAAAGACAGTAGCAGGAAATAAAAATAATGAAATTACTAAAGCATTTATTATTTAAATAATTACCAATTCTCTGAAATTGCATTATCCCTCACTATATATATATTTTATATGGATATATGAAAAGTAACTCATAATTAGCAAATTGCTACAAAATACTACAGCTCACATCAGTTTGTTTGAGTAGGAGATTATTCTAATTCTGCAGTAAAGTTGGACACAGACACAAAGAAATAATGGAAATAATGAATCTGATTTGCATTATAGTGATATAATCTATTTTGTGCTGATTAAAGTAAGTATTTAGATAATTCTATGACTCGAGGATAACACGTTATCATATTCTTTGGCATTGCTTAGCACAATGGATCCAACTGTTTGGTAGCTTTTATTTAAATTCCAATGCAAAATGAAGAAAACTTAAATAAGCCTCTAACCATACATTAACATTAGAGCAATGCTCTTTGGTATCACCAACAAAATGTTGAATATTTGACAAAACTTTCAGTGTCACCTTTGATAAAATAAATGGCAATTTATATTGCTGGGCCAAACCTAGCTCAAACAAATTTGAAATATTTTGTTGTAAACATTTGTGGGTACGCTTAGTAGAAAATACATGAAAGGAATAAAGCATACAAAGACATCTCCCCTTTCTCTTACCACCTCAGCAAAAGACATTACATATCTGCAAGAAAGAATCCTGATTGCAGGCAGAGCATCTCCCACGTTTGGCAGACATGAATGAGGGGAATGCAGTATGAAAGAGCACGAAGATGAGGATCAGTTCTGATATTTTGAAACAATACATAGCAAGCAGGTTTAGTGTCATTACTTCTTCATAAATAGCTGAACTATGGTATGAAATTGGAATGACATTTGTTGAAGTGAAGGAAAATACCATAGTAATCTTTAGTCTAATTGAATGTTCTAAATCTCCTACATACCTAGATGATCTTTGATTAGAAATACTTCTGTGTATTAGAGAAGCAGTTAGAAATGCATTTTCAGGTATGCTTAACATGGCAGTGAAATGGAAGCCTTCTACAACTTTCTTGCATCACATCAAGATTTTTACCACTTTTTATTGTGATAGGCTTCTACATCTAGCAGACATACTGATGCACTGCTTTCCATGGACAGAATGGCTATAGTATCTCCTTTCACTTGACCCAGCAAACATTGTGACCAAAATCAGAAAAGTTTTACTGAATTTTCAGACAGTAGAAATGGTACAATAAAGGATTATCAAAGACTACAAGTCTAAATTTCATTGCCAGTGACCAAAGGCATAGTCTTTGAAAATAAATGTTTCAATTTTTTCTCTCTGAGAAATAATTTTCAAGCCCAATATGTAGCAAATTCACCATCAAACCATCCTCATAAAGCCAGATAAATGAAATAAATATACTGGCTTATAATCATGAATATACAATAATCTTAAAGTTTAATTTTTTTAATTTCCTGCTTACATTTGTTAAACTGAAAACATCTATAAACAGATGTAAAAAATATAAGGAACTCAAATAAATCATATATACTTCAAGGTGATTTATTATGATAAATAAATACAATTGTTTAAACTGTGGCAATAAAACTAGACATTGCAAGCCAGAAGAGAAGAATCTTGCAATAAAACATTAAGGACAGTGTAAAACTTAGCAGCAGTTTTCTAGCAAGCTCAACAAATTCTTCTACAACCAAGATGAACTTGGGCTTTAGAAAATATTTGTTTGAAGCAACTGAAACCATACATAGCAAGCATACAAAGCAAGCTGGCAAGGCAAAGGAACTGCATAGGTTCTAATTATACCAGCAACTGTGACTGAAAGACAAAATTGTCATTTTTAAAAGGCTGATGAAACAGAGTGCTTTGATAGGGTTTGCACTACTCTCAAAAATAAGTGATGGTTAGGTACACGATTATTTTATTTTTTTTTTCCTTCTTTAGTTTATCATTGCTTGTGATGATGTTTTTTTGCAAAAGTAAAGTTTCACAGTTTGGACCAGCCAAGCTTCATACAAATTTCAGCAGATTCTACCAAGCTTCTGAGTGAAATTTATGTTGTTAATTCTTCATAATGAGTTCTTTGATAGTTTGAAACCTAGTTTTTTTCATTATCCTTTTACCACAACTAAAATTTTTGCAGTGCAAAAGCAATGCAATGAAAGACAAGTGGATGTCAAAAGGAAGTCCAATATAGCTAAAAAATTCCATTTTGAACTCAGATTTCAGATCTTGGAATGCTGGGTAGGCTGTAGCAATACATGTTTTCCTTTGCTTTTCCTTCAGACAGCTGAAAAGAGAGCAATCTGAAGGTTGCATTATATATGCTGATGTATTTCCTTTGTATCATTTTCTGATCCACAGATAAAAGGTAAGATACAAAATGCAGACCAAGAAGCAAATAAAAAAATTTTATATGCTCCAAGAAATGTAATTATATGAAATACATAGTAATTATGATAATATGAAATATTTGTGCGTATGTTATCAAGACTGCAACATTGTCATTGGATCACAGAATCACAGAATCACAAGGTTGGAAAGGACCTACAAGATCATCTAGCCCAACTGCCCTTCTAGCACCATTACTACCCAGTAGGCCACATATCATAGCTCATGATCCAGAAGCCTTTTGAACACTGTCAGGGACAGTGACCTCCCTGAGCGGCCATTCCAGTGCCTGACCACTCTTTGAGAGAATAAGTTTTTCCTTACGTCTAATCTAAATCTTCCCTGGTACAACTTTTGGCCATTTTCTCAGGTCCTATTTGTTGCCTGGAAGAAGAGGCCAAAACCCTCCTAATCACAACTTCCCTTCAGGAAGTTATAGAGTGCCACGAGATCTCCCCTGAACCTCCTCTTCTCTAAAAGTAGTTATAAACTCTTCTGTTAAAAACAGTTCCATTAATTCTACTGCATAGACTCAGACTTTTATTTCTCACTAATGTGATGATGCGTTCAAATATTGCAATATATCATTCTGGACTAAAGGTACAAATTCCTCTTTATAAATTAGTATTTCTAACTTTGGAGATAATCTACATAACTGTATTTTAAACTCCTTAGAATGCTAGACAATGCACTTGTATGGGAACTGCTGAATCATGGCCTGAATCTCTGATTGATCACCTGAAGAGAGCAATGAGTCAGCCCTAGGAGCACAGGTGAAGGCAATTCACCTGTGATGCCAGAAGGGGTGGAGCCTGGCTCCACTTCTCGTAGACCCATTTAAGAGCTGACTAGCAGCAGGGAAGGATCTCCAGAAAGAGATGCTTCCTTTGGAGTTTTACAGTGAGCCCAGGACAAGGATAAGCACTCTATTTTCTTTTTGGTATAATAACCTGCTTAGCCAAACTGTCTTGTTTATTTCATAATTATGACACCTGTATATTCATTGATTGTACAGCACTGAATAATAGTCGTAAGGGAAAGCTGATGTTTAGTAAAGTGTAGTTGAGTAGAGCTGTAGGAAAAACAATATCAATGTATTTATAGCAGTAGCTAAAACAATACTGATCTACCTGAAGTGCATTTTTTTAGGTTATAAGTAGCTATTTCCCACAAAATATCAACCGTTCTTGCTACTATTTACAATCCTTAACTGGTGAAATATTAGAGATTCAATGTATCTAAGTTTTTTAAGGAAAAACTTAGTTTCATTGCAGATCTTCTGAATTATGGTATGGGTATGGTAATATTACATCTTATGGTTTCATAGCTATCATTCAGGTTGCTTGGAAGAATTGTTCAGTAAGCTTCATGGAGATAACTTCTGGAAATGTAAGAGGCAAGCTGTCATGTTACAGCGAAACTAGTTAAAAAAAGAACATTAACTAGGTCAACTCCAAAAAAAAAATGCTTTGCGTTACAGTGCTTGTCACAAACATAAAAATGATTTTTTTGCAGTATTCTTTAATTGAATATGGAGTTAACTCCAATATGAATATGACAAATTATTAATGGATTTTTCCTCCAGCGTTCAAATATACCTGTGCTAAATATATTTATGGTAGGGCTTCTTGTTATTCTGTTTTTGGTCCAGCAGAACATGAAGGTATTTTATACTTTCTAAGACTGACATGCAGATAAGGGGGACTCTTCAAGTTAGGGACATCAGTACTGAATGATCTATGTTATACAGATATTTCTAAAAAGGTTGTATGAATTACTAGCCTTGCTAAAGTCAGATTTTTAAACAAGAAATAATTCCCAAATTATAAGCTTATGTTACATTTGGATGCATTCATCTTCCAAAAGAATGTAGCAACATTGGTGCATGATGTTCTCCAAACAACCATTTCCTTGAAATTCTAGTGAAGAAAAGCACAGTGTGTAGCATTAGTAGTATTTCATAGAAATAAGATAAACTGTAATCAATGTAGAAAAAATCAATGGCAAAACTAGAAAAAAAAATAAAACACTTCACATAATTTAAAGTGAACTTTTGTGATATTAATTCCAATTCTGTTTAATGGGAATTTAGTGGGATTCCTTTTACCCATCAATACATATTTGTTCATCACTGGATATTATGCTTCATTTAGTTGTTTGAACATTCTGTGAAATACAAGAGAAACATTGTTTTTGTTCACTAAACATCTACCATATCTTGAGATTACCTATAAATAAGAAGAAAATACAGACAGCCCAACTAGAACACTATTTTATGAATATCCAAAAACTGGTGAAATGAAATGGAACACACCTCTGTGATGACTTTTGTACTCTGGAATCCTTCATCGTCTCTACTTGTATTGAAATATAGTTTATTTATACCAAAAGCTTTTCAAGACTGATTGATTTTCAGTTTATTCACCATGTTAATTTTTGTATATTGCAAATGAAACTGCAATTGTACAAGAAAATTAGACATACTTACATGATTTGTGTTTCACATATGCATGGGAATGTGCTCAGCTTTTTGTTGGAAAAAAAAAATCATTATCGTGCTGTGAAGACTCTTAATACAGACCCCTAATAATCTACATACAAAACTAAGGTTCTTTTATTCAAAAGAATGAAAAAAATGCTACATACTTATGCAATCTTACCTATTAGAGCTGTTGTATAACCTCTTTGCTTCAGGAGTTTGGAAAATGTTATTTCTTCAGAAGGAAGTCCACCAGAAGAAGCAGAAAATAGGAAGACACCAACTCGTGAAAAAGCAGCCATTCCTGAATACAGTGAGAATGAATGAGACTTAGATAACACGGTGAAACAGTTTTCATTCATTATTTCTGAACTTCTTGAACTTCTGATTTTTTTCTTGAAGTAGTATCATATAAATGACATATTACCAGCAGTCATTATGAAACACAAGTGGCAGATACTGTCATCTGTTGTCATCTGTTCAGCTGATTTTTTTTCCTGTATTTTTACCAGAAAATGGTAAGTGGAGTAAATGGAAATTCTGTTGCTGTGAACGTGGGGTCAGCCACGTTCAGTCACACAAAGAGCTGCAAGACCTGTAAGTATTCTAAGATAAAACATAACTTGAAGAAGTTGAGCTTGAATAATTTATTTTTCTTGAACATGGGGAAGGAATGGAGTTGAGGACACTTTCCAAGTTCTTCTCCCAAATCTTCCACTTTCCTTAGACGTGGTTTTCTTCATGACTTCAAGGTAATTTGAAAGAAGGCAGTAAATGCAGGGCAATTTTTCAGCATAAATATCATTAGGTCAAAAAAGCGCAAGAGAGCCTGACTAGAGAGCCTGACTAGAGAGCCTGACTAGAGAGCCTGACTAGAGAGCCTGACTAGAGAGCCTGACTAGAGAGCCTGACTAGAGAGCCTGACTAGAGAGCCTGACTAGAAACAGTGTCTAGAGCACTCAGTTTTGGTGGGAGAAAATCAGTGCCCCAATAGCCTGGACACACGACTGACTTCCAGCTTGAGAGTATCAAAGCAACATCAGTCATCAGCTAGTAAGACAACATCTAAATAAGTCACAGTAATCTCTATGCACTGAGAGTCTGAAAACACTAACTTGAGTTTATAAGCTACTCTCAGGATGATGAACTAGAGAGCTCAGGTTCATTAAAATTAGATCACTAGGATTCCAGATGAGAGTTGGCTCAGAGTACAGACAGACAGAACACAGGATATCTATGCAAATCTGTGCAGATGTATCTTCAGGAAGTTTGAATTATGCAACTTGGATGATTGCAGTGCCAAAATTACATGAGTGATCTAGACAACCAGAATCTTCCCTCAGGTATTCATTGTGGTTCGAAGAGAAAAAGGCTTGTTAGACCAGTTTATTAAAGTGATCTCTGTCTTCCAAATGCTGACTTCAGATTTTCACCTTGCACAGCAACATCAGTTTTAGTGATTGATGGTTTAGGTGTTTTTAGTTGTCTATACACATCTGTATTTCATTTCAAGGTGCATTTTGGTCTCTCTTAACTGAAATCCATATAATTCCTTTAAGTTATCAGAAACAAATTATAAAACTATGATTTTATTTTCGTCAGTATCTTTCTCTGAGTTTGTGTCTAATCAAATAATATATTTTGAAATATAAAACTCCTAGAGATGCAGAGAAAAATTACTTTTTCAAAACTGTGATTCTAGCTTTTTCTATAACAATTTTCTACTAATTCTTTACTAGTATTCCAGAGTAGCCTATATTTAACAATTTCATAATTTTGTTAAGACAGAGTTCAATTTTTGCATGCACATGGAAGTTATTAGGTGTAACTGAGAACAGGCCATTTAAGAACAAAAATCAGTTCAAATGCTAATTTTTCTGAAGAACAAGGTCTATAATGGAAACTGACCTCTGGCTTTACCTACAGTAAATATTAATAGCAATATAACTGTGATAGGTATATAAAATTTTCCTTTGCAGCTGAATGTAATGGAAATTTAGCAAGTTACATTAGCTGGCACTTTTGCAGAAGCTCGTTACATGATTTGAATGAACATGAATGTATCAAGTAGGCTCCAGAGTCTTGCTTTGCTTTCATTCCCAGAAGCAAGGACAGGATGTTTTATCACTAATGAACAAGTGATCTGATTAATGTATAATGATTCCTGCTAAAAATTATGTTGAGAGAATGTTAAAATTGCATGCCTAAGCACAGAGGAGATCAGTCTCAGCACACTAAAATAAACAGGTTCTCAGATTGTCTTTAGATTTGAAATAAGAAAAGTTATATGCATTCATAGGATACCTAACACTGTGTATGGCAAGATATGAAAGAAAAGATATGAAACAACTGAAGAGGTGAACAGCTTACAGTTTTGGACAGTGGAGGAAGTCGAAGTTTGGCTGCTCCTGCCATTAAACAACCATAGCTCAATCTTTTCTCAGTGTTTTTAAAAATATTTAACTCAATAAAAAGCTTTATATTGTGTGAACTCTTTGGCAGTGAGAAAATCTACCATCTACAGAAGGTTTCAAATGTTGCCCAACTCTTCAAAGCTTGATTAGACACTGAAACGAGTACCTAACCTGGCAAACACATGAGGAAAAAGGCAGAGCAAAAATGCACAGTTTACTGCAAATAAAATAATATATATATAAATGAAATATTTTAATTTTACCTGATCTGATAGGGTATCTCCCTGTCAGGAAAGCTGCCCTGCTTGGAGTACACAGTGGTGATGCAGCTAAATGCTGAGTAAGTGTCACTCCTTCTTTTGCTAGCCTGTCAATATTAGGTGTTCTTAAAAAAAAAAAAAAACAATAATAATAATTAAAAAATAGAAAAGAGTATACAGATAAGATTATTTAAAAATGAGCGTGGTGAGATTAAGATTTTGTATTAGACTCCATGTTATTAATGTTCACAGTTTGACTCTAATGTTAGCTACAGGAGCTAACATCCAACCTTCCATATCTGCTTGAGAACCTTGTCATCATGCAGACAAAAGTTGGCTGCTACAGGAGTAAAGCCTGTGCCTTCAGTTCTACAACGAGAATATTAGAAATGAGAACTGGCCACGAGCTACTGTGTGTTCTGGTACATCACTAACCTACAAGATTAATGACTATAACCTCAAGAAACAGTAATCCTTCCATATAAAAGTTCAAATTTAGTCAGAAATATTAATTTTCCAATCTGCAGCATCATATTTGATGACATCATCTATGATAACAAGAAATCTTTTCATACTCCAGAGATGAAATTCTGAATTGTCATAACACAGAATACACATATTTGAGCTGTTCTGGTTCTCAGGAGTGACAAATATGACAGGAATGGCCCAGCAGGCACTAAGGTGCAGCAGGAGGGCAGGAGGTGCTCCAAGATGGAGCAGCACTGCAGCGCAGAAGAGGGGTAGCGGTGGGGCAGGAGGGCTGTGGGAGCTGCCACCCATAGGGACTGTGAGGGGCAGTGCCTGAAGGTTTCCTCAATACACAGCTGTGTTGGGGCAGTGCTGGGAGAGCTGCAGCCCGTGGGAAGCCTATATGGGATCAGTTTGGGAAGGACAACATTTTGTAATCTGTTAGTAGTTGGAAAAAAATAGATTAATTTATTTTGCACTGAGTCTGTTTTGCCTGTGATGATATTTGGTGAATGATCTCCCTCTCTTTATCTCATTCCATGAACAGTGCAGTGCAGTGCAGAGTAGCCCATCAAAGTTCTTTGCTCAATTCTCTGTTTATGTTTCAACTTTTTGTTTGGATAAATACATTAGCTAATGATGTAATGAATATAAGGTTGAATATTCTATTCTACAGAAAGGTTATTACTTTTTCAACATATAAAAAACATAATACAACCTGGGTTTTTTTGTTGTTGTTTTCATTCATTTTTAATTGATAAATTCTTAGAAAAGGCTAAACAGAAAGCTATGACTCCTGCAGATGTATAATTGTACCTTAAAGTTCTGTTCCCATAACATCCCAGGTCTCCAATACCAAGATCATCAGCTATCAGTAAAACGACATTGGGATTTGAAACACTGTAGGTATTGACACTGTTTATGGCACACTGGAAAATCATTAAAAATAAAAGAAGTCCCATCTTCTTCCTGGTATATAAGAACAAGAGAAAAAGGTAAGAGATAAAGACTTAAAAAAAAAAAAAATAATAATAATTCTAATATTATTGCCTTGGATTCAATAGTAAAAGTTTTTTTTTTTGTTGTTTGTTTGTTTGTTTTGCTTAAGAGATTTTTTGCACTGTTTTCTCTCCAATATTTTTTTAAATTAAAAATGCATCTTTTGTTAAACAATAGTCATTCCTTCCAAGCGTTTACTGAGTTTTTAAATAAAAACAAATAAGCAGTTAGAATCTTTACGACAGTATATTTATGTATACAGAAGTGCTACAGAGAAATAAACCATTACATTTAGGAACATAAAATTTGAAATATTTTAGAATCAAAATTTCAAATGTACATTGCAAAAAAATCAATTCTGCTACTGAGGTGAGTGAATAGTTCTTCAGCAAAGGAAAATTCTATTTAGACACAGGATAAAATAACATGGCAAAGGAGATAAAAATATGCACTGCAAAATTATTGAACAACATGTTTAAGAAAAAAAATTCACAAATCATGGCCTATAGCAAAACTGTGTAAATGTATTTTTTACATACAATAATGTTCTATAAAAATAGCTCATGCTTTATCCAACTTCAAACAGGAAGAGTAATGGAATGTACACATTGCTACATTGAATGCTATGAATACTATTTTACCTACATAGGGATCCATTTAAACTGACTGTGCTCTGGCTGAATTTGAGCAACACTAGGCTTTGATGGACAGTGCCAAGTACATTCAGCAAAAGAGAACACAGACTTTTTCTTTTACCCCTAGTGATACTTCCATCTTTTCTGGATTTGGCAACCTTTTTTCAAACACAGTTGAGATACGGCTCCCATCTACACACCTGCTTATGCTGGGACAAAAAGGAAAATGGAGGACACCTGGCAGGTTCCACTGAGGTAGAAATTTTGAAAGCGAAACAGTAGGAAAAAGAACCAGGAACAAAGATTTCCAGAGAGAATGTGGACAGCAGGTTAAGAAAGGAAAGGTTGTAAATCTGTGTGTTATGGTAGATAAAAGCAAATGGAGAGAACATAAAGAAGTCAGAACTGCAAAAAAGTTTGTACAAAGGGACTAAACATCAAGGGAGAGCAATTCATAAATCACTGAGGTGTGGTGGGCAAAAGCATCCATAAGCACCCAGTAGTCACAACTGGTAGAACTTGTTCTGACTTGAATAAAAATCCAGGAAGGAAATTAGAGACCCACCTGAAATAAGAGCTGTGGGTTGAAATGAGGAGAAACAGTAGAGAGTTTAAGAAACAGGAAGAGACAGTATGACGGTGGACAGGCAGATAAACTGAGGAAAAAAGGGTGAGAGAATTGGGACTATGTGGGATAAAAGAGCTGAGCAGCTACAGTTATGGAAGATGAAGGGAATTCTGTGATTCTGTGATCTGTGTGAAATGGTTGGGAAGAAGAGCCTCCACAGATAAGACTTGATCAGTTACAAGTGGTGTTTCCCAGGGGTCAGAACTGAGGCCTGTGCTGTTTATTATCTTTACTGACACCCTGGACAAGGGGATTGAATGCACCCTCAGTTACTTTGCAGATGACAATGAGGTAGGAGGACGTGTTGATCTGCCTGGAGGTAGAATAGCCCTACAGAGGGGTTTTGACTGGCTGGGTAGCTGGGCTAAAGCCAGAGGGATTAAGTTCAATAAGACCAACTGCCAAGTCCTTCACTTTGACCACAGCAATCCCAGGCAACAGGCTTGGAGCAGAGTAGCTGGAAGACTGTGCAGACGAAATGGATTTGAGGGTGTTGGTCAACGCTCAGCTAAACGTGAGCCAGCAGTGTGCCCAGGTGGCCAAGAAGACGAGTGGCATTCTAGCTTGTGTCAGAAATAGTGTTGCCAGCAGAAAAGCGGAGTACAGGACCCTCTGTACTCAGCACTTGTGAGGACACATTAATGTTGCATCCTTTATGTCATATTACCTCCAAAAGATAAATAAAATAATATCCTTTTGGCTTGATCCTAATAGTACTTCATTTAGATAAACAAAATTTACTTTGCATTTGCAACAGACTAAAATCATGCAAAAATTCAATTATGACATCCTAACTAGTAACTTAGTCTCAGCAATAAGATTGCTTCATTTTTTTGAACATTATTTACATAGATGAAAATCTGTATTTAAGTTATTAAAAGTTCCTTATTGTAAGACAGAAATTTCACATAAAATAAGCTTAGAAAACACAAGAAAAGACAAATATTTCTTGTTCAGCCATGATTATCTGCTGGGTCTGAATCAAATCTAGACAAAGCCACAAAGCCTCTGTCAGACATAAGTTCAATTTAAGTATCTTCTTAAAATGATCTCTCTAAAATTTACTAGTTTAATCCCAACAACATAACAGAATTTAACAGCAGTATTGTTAAATAATAAACCATTTTTTTCTTTGTAGTAAATCATATCATGAATGGAAGATAAGATTTTATTTTTTAATGTAGTGATATTTCCATCAGTTTTATTTAAAACAAACAAAAAAAACCCCTTCAAACTGTATGATTAGATATGTATATTAGTTCTATGATTAATGTTCAGTAACATTCCTTCTGCCAGACAAATACTCATTAGGAATTTAGTTCTGAATGTGGTCTGGCCAGTAGTGAAATAAAGGAGTACCACAGGTAGTCATCTGACCTATCTGTCAGAGGCCCACCATCCTGAGAGATTTAAAAAAAAAAAAAAAAAAAAAAAAAAAAAAAAAAAAGGTAAATCATGATTAACTGTTATTAATAATAACAGTATAATTAGTACTAATAATATCATGTCATTTCCCAGGGAGGTGTTCTAAAGCGCTAAAAGAAATCTTCCAGATTCAGTAATTGCACATTAAGATGTATATGCATATATGCATATATGAAGAATGCATCTCTGCTCAGTCTTTGCAGTTAGAAGAATTTTAGGTCAGTGTTTTACGTCAGCATGTGTTTTGTGTTTAGCTTAAAGACATAGTAACAGTACCACTAGATTTTGATGGAAAGGAAAGGTAAGAGAGATGAGAAAGTTTCTTCTCTGATATCTATAGTACCTCACTTCAGAAAATATTAAATAATAATGCTGAACTGTGCAAAAATGTTGACATATGCAAGTATTAACATGTTTTCTATGTATATGCCCATTAGAATAAGATCTTTACAGTGTTACATTAAACAATGTAATATGACACTTCCTGACATATTTGAGGGCTTAGCTTAAATTCATCCATGATATCTAGCTTAATTAATATTTTTTGAAATCCGTTGAGTCAGATTTTTGTTATAGACCAAAGTAGATAATGTGTGAAGTGGATGTTTCAAGAGGCCAAATTGAAGAGAGGAAGAAATTGTATGACAAAAAATGTCTCTTTTGAGTTACTCAATGGCATCCTCTGGAGTATGTCAAGATCAAAGCTTTGGATTGCATAACATAATATTATTGCTTTTCCCACTACCTAAAACAGCTTTTCTAGTCAAAGTAGTTTACTACAGAGATTGCTGTGAAACAGCCAGTAAATTTTTCCTTGCTATGTAAGGCTAACAAGTAACACATAAATAATATGATCCAGTATGTTATGCTCTTTCCAAAAGGATGTTCCACTTAAAGAAAACAGAAATTGTATTTGCATAAATTTGTTCTCAAAATGTGAGATTATTATTTTTAAAACGGCTCTATTGTTACTTATGCCTTCATTATGACAGCACTCAAGGACTCTCAATACAACTGTGTCAGAGTCAACAACTGAAAAAAAGGCTTCCTTCATTCATTCTGTGGGTAATTTTACCCACAGAGGAGCTAAAAGCCTATATGGCTTTTATCAACTAAGCAGTCATGGTGCAAACCAATCCATCTGAATTTTATTCATCTTAAAGTTATGCATTTAGCCTGAGTTAATTATCTAGGCATCCTCTCTAATTAGTAGGAAGAGACAAACATATTAAGAGAATGATTCAACTCTTCTTAAGACTGATACAATGAAATGCTGAAAGTAATGTTCATTATCTTTTTCCAGAGAAGGAAGAGAGCCTAAAGACCTAATTTAGACGACGTGTATATAAAAGGAATAAAGATACATGAGATGTATCCCAACTTGATTATGGATTGTCTGTGTGTGCTCAGCATACAATAGGAGCAAAAAATAAAAAGTTTTTCGTAGTACACAACCAATGTACTTTTCCATTAGTATGATGTGTTCTACTAACGGTACTAGTTTAACAGCTTATAACTTTATGTAATACCAGTGACACCTGGGAACTAGGGACAATTCTTAATGAGTTTTAGCTGCAAAATTTTTCTTCATGAGATGCACATAGCAATTTATCCTTTCCAGATTGTAAGGCAATCCTATGAATATTCTGTCCCAAGTCCCCTACTGTTTCATTATTCTTAATTAAAAAAATAAATAAATACAATTGTTTACGTCCAACTGCAAAGAGTGTTTTATAGGAGTATTGGTAATTCATTCTATGAATAAATTCAGCTATAGCCAACCCTGTATTTAGGTTACATTCACAAGTGTAATCAGACAAATAAACTTTATCTCTGACAGACTTTTGACAGAATAGAAATTGCATTCCCTGCTGCTATCTGAGCCAGATGATATTTCAAGAGAGCTGTTGTCAGAGGCGACCAGCTGACTGATTGTGAGTGCAGTTTGATTGTGGTTCACAGCTTCTTCCCTGCTGCCTTCTTCCCTAAGGGCTACAGAGACACTGGGAAACCAAAGCAGCACAGGACCAGCCAGCCATTGCTAGGGCCTATTACCTCCTTTCAGGCTAGAACTTATTACTTTCCCACAGAAAAATAAAGCACTTAAAGATTCTGACATGGCAGGAACCAGTCCGTGATTGTGTCTGGGTACTGTCTGGCAACTCACATGGAAAAGTCATGCACCTTCCCAAAGGCCCAAATATCATGTCTCCCTGTCTCTCATCACACATGGCAGATATTCTGGTCACATGCTTGTCCTCACAAGTAAAGAGTAGGAGAAAAGAGAGTAGCAGTACACCTATCACTGAATCACAGAATGGCTCAGGCTGCAAGGGACCTCAAGGATCTTGAATCTCCAACCCCCCTCACCACAGGCAGGGCCACCAACCTCCACATTTAATACTAGACCAGGCTGCCCAGGGCCCCATCCAGCCTGGCCTTGAACACCTCCAGGGATAGGGCATTCACAACCTCTCTGTGCAGCCTCTTCCAGCACCTCACCACTCTCTCTGTACAGAAATTCCCCCTGACATCCAACTTAAATCTTCCCTCACTCAACTTAAAACCATTTCCCCTTGTCCTGCAGTTCTCAACCCTTTCAAAGAGTTGATTCCCCTCCTGTTGGTAGGCTCCCTTTAAGTACTAAAAGGCTGCAATGAGGTCACCCCACAGCCTTCTTTTCTCCAGGCTGAACTAGCCCAGATCCCTCAGCCTGTCTTTGTATTATTATATGAGGTATATGCATATATGGGTGTTTTGTTGGTGAAAAGTATCCTGTAACCAATTCTCACGTTTGTTTGCTTTGCAATCTGTCCCACTGCAAAGACTGAGCACTGCTGTATTAGAATGTACATATACAAATTGAGAGGAAATTTCTGTGCCTATGGGACCAAATCGCAGGGGCTCAAAAGATACAAAATAATAGCTTTTTATTTTTCCTTTCTCTTCACAGAATCACAGAATTGTAGGGGTTGGAAGGGACCTCCAAAGATCATCGAGTCCAACCCCCCTGCCAAAGCAGGTTCCCTACAGCAGGTCACACAGGTAGGCATCCAGGCAGGTCTTGAACATCTCCAGAGAAGGAGACTCCACCACCTCCCTGGGCAGCCTGTTCCAGTGCTCCGTCACCTCACTGTAAAGAAGTTCTTGCGCATGTTTGTGCGGAACTTCCTATGCTGCAGTTTCCGGCCATTTCCCCTTGTCCTGTCTCCACTCACCACTGAAAAGAGACTGGCCTCACCACTATGCCCCCACACTCCATAAACCTGGATTAGATCCCCTCTCAGCTGTCTTTTCTCAAGGCTGAACAGACCCAGTTCACTCAGCCTTTCTTTCATAGGAGACATGCTCCAGGCCCTTCACATTTCTGTGGCCCTCCGCTGGACTCTTTCCAAGAGATCCCTGTCTTTTTTGTACTGGGGAGCCCAGAACTGGACACAGTACTCCAGTTGAGGCCTTACCAGGACAGAGTAGAGGGGGAGGATCACCTCCCTCGACCTGCTGGCCATGCTCTTTTTAATGCATCCCAGGATGCCATTGGCCCTCTTGGCCACAAGGGCACACTGCTGGCTCATGGCCAACCTGTCGTCCACCAGGACACCCAGGTCCCTTTCCACAGAGCTCCTCTCCAGCAGCTCATCCCCCAGCCTGTATTGGTGCATGCAGTTATTCCTCCCTAGATGCAAGACTCTACACTTGCTTTTGTTGAACCTCATCTGGTTTCTTACTGCCCAGCTCTCCAGCCTGTCCAGGTCTCGCTGAATGGCAGCACAGCCTTTAGGTGTGCCAGCCAATCCTCCCAACTTCGTATCATCAGCAAACTTGCTGAGGGTGGCCACTATCCCCTCATGAAGGTCACTGATGAAAATGTTGAACAAGACCGGACCCAGCACAGACTCCTGGGGGACACCACTGGTTACAGGTCTCCAGCCAGACTCTGCACTGCCAACGATTACCCTCTGCACTCTGCCAGTCAGCCAGTTCTCAACCCACCTCCCTGTCCACTCATCTATCCCACACTTCCTCAGCTTTGTTATAAGGATGTCGTGGGAGACAGTATCAAATGCCTTTCTAAAATCAAGGTAGACTACATCTACCGCTCTTCCCCCATCCACCCAGCATGTGACAATATCATGGAAGGCCATCAGGTTGGTCAAGCACGACCTCCCCCTGGTGAACCCATGATGACTACTCCTGATAACCTCCTTTTCTCCCAGTTGTCTGGAGATGTCATCAAGCACAAGCTGTACCATCACCTTTCCAGGGACAGAGGTGAGGCTGACAGGCCTATAATTACCCGGGTCTTCCTTCTTGCCCTTTTTGAAGACTGGAGTGACGTTGGCTATCCTCTAGTTATCAGGGACCTCCCCCATTATCCAAGACCTCTCAAAGATGATGGAGAGAGGTTCAGCAATGACCTCCGCCAGCTCCCTTAGCACACGTGGATGCACCCCTTCAGGTCCCATGGACTTGTGGACCTTAGTACTGCCTAGGCTCTCAAGCACCACCTCTTTCCTGACTAAAGGGAAGTCTCCCATTCCCCAGACCCTCTCACTAACCTTCAGGGTGTGGGAAACCTGAGGGAGAGCATTTTCACTGAAGACGGAAGTAAAGAAGACATTCAGTATCTCTGCCTTCTCAGCATCTCCCGTTACCAGAACCTCCCCTCACTTAGTAAGGGGCTCACATTCTCTCTAGTTTTCCTTTTGCTGCTAACATATTTGAAGAAGCCTTTTTTATTATCCTTTATCACTTTAACCAGATTCAATTCCAGATGGGCTTTAGCCTTCCTCGTTGCATCCCTGCAGACCCTGACTACATTCCTATATTCTTCTCAAGTGGTCAGACCCTTTTTCCACATTTCATGGACCTTCTTCTTTCCTTTGAGCACAAGTGAAAGCCATGAAGAAAAGGTAAGATGAGCAACCTGTCAAAGACCGAGTTTCTTAGCAGATTCCAATAAAAAGGAAAGCCTATTTTTTTGTTATTCAGTCATACAAGTAGTTCAAGAATGATATGCTTTTAATTCTGTGATACAACAAATATTCAGGGACTGATGTGTCCTCCTTCTGCAGACAGACACGAACATGTCTCTGGAAAACCCCTCTGAAATTTTTTGGATGGGATACTTAATAGTAAATTAAAAAATAATGCAATTTCTTTCTTTTTTTTTTTTTAAGTTATAATTTAAAAATGAAATACTTCTTATTTTTACACATAGAAAAATTATCTGCTTAGAATTTACAAGTGAAACAAAGCCACTTATGTTCTTGTCTTGAGCAGAGAGAGATTTTTGCTATGCTACTTTGAACAGAGCTAAAGATTTGATCAAAGTCACAATTTGTTTAAAGACTCAATGCAAAATTAGAATAAATAGAACTATTCATAATTTTTATTCTGTCCTCTTATATAGCAACAAAAAAGCTTCAGAAACATAATACATATATACACATAGTAAGATGACAAGCCATTTTCTTACTAGTTCTAATATAGAGGTAATTCACCAGAATTATTCATTTTAAACAATAAACAGTTTTAAAAACAAATACTATTGTCGGAAACAAAAGAAATCTTACAAAAAAAAAAAAAAAAAAAAACACAAAACCAGAAAAGAATACTTTGAAATTAGAAAAAGGATTATGAGCTGCAAAGTTGTTACACAGTTGCCTGATTACAAGCTACAGAGATCAAAATCTTCTCATAAAAAATGTGCAAGCCAAGTGACAAACACATTAACAAAATAATGTGTATACATTAGCAAACTTTTTATCTGAATCTTAAAGCTTTAATCATGTACTAATTTCAGAAGATGAATAGTTGACTCACACTAGAAAAAAAAAGAAGAAAAAAAATAATAAAAAAACCTTGTGAATATACTTAGCATGGCAAAATATTTGAGAGACATTATTTAAATTTAATAGGATTAGGCAACAGTTAGAATTAATGTCTTAAAAAGGATATCTGAAAGAATAAATAATTATCCAACTAAAAATATCCACTTATAAGAAGAGGCTTAAATGGGTCCTGAATGTTTGACATGAAACAAAACAAAACATCTAGAAGAAACAGAAATACATGTAGTGCACGACAGAGATATATGAAAAAGGCAAAGTTATAAAGATCCTTATGAATAAACTTTTGCACTTTGCCTTCCCCTTTCCGTTCTCTCTCTCTTTCTTTTATCTGGTTTTTCCCTTTCTCTTTCATAGGGACTTTACCCAACTTTTACATATTCCTGTTAAAACAGAATACATATTTAAAAATTCAAAATCCCAACACAACGGAATGAATGAAAATTATCATTAGCTCAAGACTATATTAGCTCATTTCATTTTCATCTTATTTTTTATAACTTTCAAGATCATAAAGAAATATAAAAAGTATATTAAATAAGGGTTTTTTTCCCCAATTTCTTGTGACACATCAGTATTAACTTTCCTTTAACATTTGAAGAGTTCCTCAGTAATAGCTCTAGGGGTCTCATTATCTTCTGGCCTGGACTAGAGCATGCTACAAGTATGTTTGAAATGAGTAATATGTTTTTTAAATCATTTCAGAATGTCTGTATGTAATTTTTTTCCTTCATTCAATGCCCTTAGGTATGACACACCATTGAGTTCTTAAGGTTAGATTTTGCTTATCAGTGGAAAAAGAACATATCATTTTTTGTCTGATGTGTATTTCTCAGAACTAATGTTTTGCTGCTACTATTAACAACTGCCATAATAGACAACATATTCAGTTGTCAGTTGTAATAACTAATATAAATGGAAGATGTAACTCTTCTTACGTAGCTAAGAGTAAAATCTGTAAATGAGTAATCCATGTCATCAGCTTCTAATTCAGAGCTGTGTTTGTCAGCAGTGCTCGATAAAACAGTACTTCCCTAAAAAAAAAAAAAGGTAGCATTCTAGTTTATTGATTTGATTTCTAATTAAATACATTTTGTAATGGTAGGGATTCTAGAAGAAAACAAGTTTGCATACCAGTCTGTCTAGTTTAAGACAATGTCACAGGAGAAACAGTCTGTCTGAGCTCTGTTTCCTAAGAGATCTTTGTAATATGACTGTTCAATTGATTCTGCTGTTTTTAGTATGGTGGGGAGGCAGAGGGGATAGGGAAAGGAAAAGAAAAAAAAAAGTGAAAAAAAAGAACAAAAAGAACAGACTATCTTTACACCTTGGCCTTTTAATTTCAAACATTTGTCCGGGAAACAAAAAAATCCAGGATCAGTGCAATTCTGAGCCTGAAGCAGTTAAAACCTGCATTTTCACAGCCTGGAGTGCTACAGTAATGATTCTTGTTAAGCATTTCTTGGCAACTCATCTGAAATGTCCAGACTACCTTTAATCCTCCTTCTCACTCTAAACTGATTTTCTTTCATTCCTCATCCTAAAATTTTCTCTTACAAAATCATGAAATCACCATACAAACTCTTCTACAATCCTAATCTTTCTCAACAATGTTATTTCTTCTTTATGAATCCCATACTATTGTCATGTCAATACAGATTCAGACTGGATACCTCTCGGATGCAGCTGCTTGTTTCATTCAGTTCTGCTTGCCCAGGTGCTGCTGTTTCCACTAATGCTCCATCACTACTGCTGCTGCTGCCGTTCCTCCCTGCTTGACTTCTCTCCCCACCAAGTAAGGTTTCCACCAGGCAACAATATGCAGTGCTTCCCCCACTGGCTACTGTGGTTCTCCAGGTATTAGAACAGCCTCAGCTGCTAGTCTGACAGGGACTGAACACCCAAATACAGGTTTGTACTTCCTAAAATCCACGTGAAGAGCACCCTAAGGTGCTAATGTGTTTGTGAGAAAACAAGGCGTATGGAATCCATATTATTAATGAGTCATTACAAAACTGCATAGCAATACATGTGGTCAGACTCATGCATTCTTTTGAACTTTTTTTTTTTTGTTAAATTGACTTCTATTTTCACCTTCCTTCCTTCTTGTCTCGGGTGCTTGCCCGAATAGAGTTCTGTAGAAACCTGGTAGATAGAACCTATTTAGAAGCTATGACGTCTTCCACACCTGCTCTCTTCCTCTCTTATTCCTTGCCATCCTCTCTTAGTAGTTCCCCTTATGGATATTGTTTCCTCAGTAACCATGTTTACACTCAGTTAACAGGTTGAATGTGTGTGAGAATACAAAGGAAGAGATTAGCTTTATTTAATATCACTTAAAAAGTCATAGTTAAGTCTCACACTTTTCCACCTTTGAATCAGAGAGATTTGGTTAGATTACACTGCTAATAAACCAGGGTCACTTCAAAACTCCAGGCTTATTTTGAAACCTAGCCACCTCCAAAACTATTTAACAATTTATTTCCACTGGATCTTGAAAGAGTCTGTAATCAAAATTATATACACTTCTAACATTACTTTTTAAACAACCAGAGCTTAAGTGGTAAGAAAAAAAACTTACAGCTAGAAAATGTTCTACTACATAAGCACTCTACTCTATTTTTCATTCAAAATGCTTTCACAATTCAATAAAGCTTATGCTCTTTTTAGCCCACTGTAGTCAGGGAATGTTCTGTTCCGCTGCAGTACTATACAGTAAAGTGTATTTTGTTGCAAAAAAGATAGTATTAACATGCCTTTTTTCTTTCTTATGTAAAATACATTAATCTAATAAGGAAAAGACATCATTGCATGTTATTACTTCCCATAATTACTAACTTCCAGTCATGAAGAATTTGCTTTGAGCCATGAAAGAATATGAACACCAACAATGGATTAACTCAAAGTTTACAATGAAAGTACATATAAAAAAAAACATATCTGGGTATGGGAGAGGTGTTTTACCTTGCAGCACGGAATTCTTTCTGTTTCTGCCTCTAGTTTACAAACAAGATGGCTGTGCCCGTATTATCAGTAAATGAGTGTAAAGTCCAGTCACGTGAGCTGAAGCAGAAGGGTGGAGAGGAAAAGAGAAGGACAACACTGAAAAAAACCCCACAATGTGTTGTTATACAACGCCTACACTGCTTTTTGATAAGAAACTAATTCACTGCTAGGAACGATTTCAACATGTTTTCAAAATGCAAATACATACAAACCTTAGCAAGAACTCATCTTAGTTTGCCACTGAAGATCTTCTATCAGGCTTTTCAAATGCTACTGACATTGTCATGTATTCTTGGAAAACTAGGTTAGTGCAAGAACTGCAGGTATATTTCTGCCTTCAGTACACATCGTAAACATTCCTGCAGAATACCTATACAGCAATGTTTAAAAAATTGTATTAAAACACCTTGAGAAGCATTATTTCAGATCACTGTTTTTTGGATGCCAGAGCTAATCTTGTTTTGATTACTAACACTTCTTTTATAACTGACATGATCACAGAAAATGACTACTCCCAGGAAGTCCTAATACAAAAATTCAGTCATTAAGCTTTTAGTTTGTGTATTATACTCTTCCACCTACCCCAATCTACTTATTTTTAACAACAAAACTTAATCAGGAAGATACATCTAAAGAAATGCAACAACTGCTGCCAGTGACACAACAGAATCTGCAACCCTTGCATTCTAAATACAGAACTTCATGTTCCTTTCAGGCAAAATGCTGAAGCTAAATGAATGACTGGGACAAATCAAACTGAAACAATATTTCTGAATAGCCATCTACATGCAACATTTATGTTGTATTTTACTTCGCTTCAAGAAATCAGCACAGCTTGTTCAGAGCTTTTCTCCTATGTTTTCCCCTGTACTCTAAAATAATATTGTAAAATAAGAACACTAAAAGCATTTTAATTTTTCTCTATCTCAAATACAAATAATAAATGTTAGTTCTACATTACAACTTGAAAAAAACTGTCGTGGGGTAGCTGAAAGCATTGGAAACTAAAAATATTAAGTCCAACCAATTGCTTAAAATCCTGACAACAAAGAAAGTACTCATTTATTTTTTAATCTCTATGAAAATCATAGTTTTGATAAATCATATTTTAGAAAGTACTGAAAAGTCCTTCATGAAGGAATCAGCACAAAAGATGGAAGATGAGATGCAACATCCACTGAAAAAAAAAAAAACAACAAAACAAACCACAACAAAAATACAAAAATCGCAGTACTTTACCAAGCTTCTTATCCATGTGTACTGCAAATCATGTAACAGAGATGTATAATCACAGAATCACAGAATTGTAGGGGTTGGAAGGGACCTCCAGAGGTCATCGAGTCCAACCCCCCTGCCAAAGCAGGTTCCCTACAGCAGGTCGCACAGGTAGGCATCCAGGCAGGTCTTGAACATCTCCAGAGAAGGAGACTCCACCACCTCCCTGGGCAGCCTGTTCCAGTGCTCCGTCACCTCACTGTAAAGAAGTTCTTGCGCACATTTGTTCGGAACTTCCTATGCTGCAGTTTCCAGCCGTTTCCCCTTGTCCTGTCTCCACTCATCACTGAAAAGAGACTGGCCTCGCCATTCTGCCCCCCACACCTTAGATATTAATAGACCTGGATCAGGTCCCCTCTCAGTCTTCTTTTCTCAAGGCTGAACAGACCCAGCTCACTCAGCCTTTCTTTCATAGGAGAGATGCTCCAGGCCCTTCACCATCTTTGTGGCCCTCCGCTGGACACTTTCCAAGAGGTCCCTGTCTTTTTTGTACTGGGGAGCCCAGGACTGGACACAGTGCTCCAGATGAGGTCTCACCAGGGCAGAGTAGAGGAGGAGGATCACCTCCCTCGACCCACTGGCCACGCTCTTTTTAATGCACCCCAGGATGCCATTGGCCCTCTTGGCCACAAGGGCACACTGCTGGCTCATGGCCAGGAACCATTCAGTCCTGTAGTGCTGCTGGGAGCAAGCATTCCCCTTACAGAACCCAAAACAAAATGTTTGAGGTGCACTTAGTAGGTGAAATGAACTGGCTAAAAAACTAAATTCAAGCTCTCACTTGCTTGACAGCATTGAGATTTCAAGCTTCTTTCAAGGTACCTTTAATATCTAATTGTATCTACAAGTGTTTTTTCCAATCTTACAAACATTTTTGAAAACATCCTTCATTGATTGCTGCTAAATTCCAACTATAAAATAGGAAATACTACTACACTGTAGTTGACTTTTTTTTTTCCTATCTACACTCTGAACTTAATTCCTCAAGACATGTAAAGATATGCTTAACTTAAAGTAGGTATATGACCTGTAAAGGGATTATTTCCACACACCAAAACTAGCAGCCTTCACGTTCATGCTCACAAAATGTATCTGACATTGGCTGTCCATAAAAGCACATTCTGAAGTATATTACAAGTATGTGTCTGCATGTGTAGCAAGGAAGTAGGGCAGTAACTTCAGAAAGGAAAAGAGGCATTCCCAACAGGGAATTTTGACTTGCCTCTGAGATATGCTAATTCTTGTAACTAAGAAAAAATCCTTGTTCCCCTTGTCAATATATCTAATATAGCTCAGCTTCAATACCAACTCAAGAAGCTGGCTAACTCTGCTTAGCATTGCCCCCTTCCTTCCCACCATTTCTGCTCCCTGATCAGAGCTGCTATAGCATAGTGTTATGGCTTCTCTATTTAGATAGGTCCAGATACTCAGACCAGAATAATCATTCCAGATAAAGGAACATAGCTGGTTTCCAACTGACTCCTGTACTACCTAGGTACTGACTGTGTGTTCACTTCTGAGTATGTAGATATTCTGAGCTGAGGGTCAGCTAGCTCATTTCTCTCTGACCTATTTTCTGAGAAGAAACAACATTAAAAGGACAAGGACAGAATTCAGAATTGAGCTGTGAAGATTCAGCTCTCCAGTTTGTTGCATGCTGACTGGGCTACATGCACACAAAACTTTAAAACATGACAGATCAATGCCTCACAATACTTGTTATCCAGAAAACACAAATTGTTCTCTTTCTTTACTTTCTGATGATGTAATTATTGCATTCTTGGACAATGTTCAGCTTAGGAACACAGGACTTAAAAGGGACCACTGGAAGGGTGTCTGCATTTAGTTCCACCCTTATTGTAGGCAACTAAGTGAGAAATGTCTTGCTTAGAAGAGTTAATGAAATACACATTCCATGTGGCACTACCTTCCCCCTCCTACCTCCCCCCATAATTCATAACAAACTGTAGTAAAATGAAAAAAAATATAGCCATAAAAATCACATGCCAACAAAGTAACCAGTAAGTATAACCAGTATTTTTGGATCTTTTGATGATGTAAATTAGACAAATAAGGTTTACAAGACATCCAAAAGAGGAAGTCATAGGAAAGCAAAACAATATAAAACACTTCAAATTTTATCTTGGTATGCATTTCCTTCTGCCTAAATCCTTCTGATAGTTTAAGGATAAGTAGGACCCATCCATTAAGCATTTAAGATTTCAGTGACAATGACACTGTTAATCATTTGCACATTTTGGCTGTGTGCAGCCAATATTTTACTGGAAGACCAAAAATTACATTAAAAAGCTAATTCACGAGCCATGTAATGTAGAGGAGTGATAATTATTCTCTCTGGCTTTAATGGAAACAACAAATGACCCTGAAGCATGACATTAAACTCTAATTTCCCAGCTTCTGAACCTGTTCATTCCATTGCCAATTCTCATCAACAAATATAAAAATTGTCATCTGAAAATATGTTAGATCCCTTGTCCCATCTTGTGCTTGATAGGTTCTTCTGGACTTTCACTCCTCATTGCTGTATAACAGTACCTCATCTAAACTCATAGATTTCCAATGCATATCTTCACTTTTTTTCTCCTTTAAGCATGATACGTCATCTTTCTTGCCTTTGTAACTAACTCACTTATAATTAGTGAAAGATAATAAAACCCAGACAACAGAGGGCTCTTACGCCTCTATATGCTTTGCATAAAATAAGAATACCCATACTAATACTTAAGGAGGATATACTTTCATTTGACTTTTTACATTTATATATATATATGTTTATAATTAATAAAAAATATTGTAGAACAGCAGAAATACAGTGATGCTTCATTGACTTAAGCTATATGCTCGATTTCCTTTTTTCAACCATAAAAACACGAGCAGAAACCATATAATTTAATTCACATTCTTAAGGCAAAATTTTTTTCTTTGATGACATTCATCACAGGGAGGAGTTTCCTCTTCTCAAGGCTTATAGGCTCAACTATAGCAACTGTTGTGAATCTCAGTTGACACCTGAGTTAAATTACATTTAGCTCTGTGTCATTCCAAGTAATTTCTTACTAATAGGGGGTTTAAAATCTGTTCACGTAAATCATCATGAAAGCTTTTAAATTACTCAAGTAATTCATTCATCTCATTCAAGGGATTTATTCAAGTCTTTAGAATCTTTTTTTTAATATTCAAACCAAAATGGATTATAATCTGTTTATCCTCTTTGCAATGGCACCTGCAGAACAAGAAAAATATGTCAGCCTTTTCAATATGAAACACACAGTATATCATGCTCCTGTCAATGTTACACATTCACTGTAAGTGAATCCATGTTTTAAGAACAGTGTAAAGTAATGAAGTAGGAAACTGCAATTTTGATTCAAGTCTATTACACAAGATAACACTTGGGCATATTCTGAAACTTTTATTAGCTAGGAAAACAACTTCTTAAATAAGTTTCCATGATTGGGAAAACTTTTTAGCTTCAAAACCAAACACAAGAAGACTAAAAAACATTATGTGGCCTGTGTACAATGTACGTGTCCAATCATTTGGCTTGCCTGGTCCACACTGCGTGAAGAAGAATTGTCTTGGGCCAAACATAAAATACATAATATAGTCAAAGTTTATAAGTAACAAAACTTCTTTTTAAACACACACACAAAAAAGAGGACAACATTAGCAAAATCACTGAGCTGGACATATATGGATTGTGTATAAGAATGTACTGTATACTTAAGAACTGCATGGACAGGCAACTGGGTATTTTCACCTTATCTCACATAAAGAACAATAAAACCAAAGTAATTTTATCATAAAAACAAATTCAAAGAAAAAAGATGTGTTTGGGATAAGAAAGATTACTAATTATAGTCTTTTACATCTATATCTTATATATCTATAAGATATACAATATCTATATCTTATAGATATTATATATCTAACTATAGTCTTTTAAAAAACTGGACATGTATTTGTACCCTATTATGCCATAAGAGGTACACCTTGGCAAAAAAACTCAGTCATCTGCTTTGGCATGTGTTGTATGAGCCTAAACAGAAAGTTAAATGCATTAAAAACACACAAAAAACTATGTTCTTCAGACTGCAGGATTAAAGCCTACTTGCATGATTATTTCTCAGTAACAGAAGTTCACACTTAAGGTTAACATGCATATAATTATTAGTTTTCATTGCTATTATGCTTCCACCACACTATGCTTTCCACAGCTCAACAGCTACTTTTATTTTTCCTTTCACATGAAAAATGCCTAAAATAAAAAAATAGCAGATTAAAGTCAACTGCATAATTCTCAATTTTTCACTTCTTCAAAAACAAATACCAACAAAATACTAATGCTAAGTAGCATTTGGGCGACTATCACAAAATACTACTACTATGGTGTTTGAGAAGAATATTCAAGACAGCTGAAAGAAATCTTAGATAAACTTCTTTGTTTATGTGTTTATCTAGAAAATTATGATCCACTATGAACTACAAGTTGTGCTTGGACTTTCTTCTCATTTCATTCTGTTACTGAAAAGACTGTCATGCTGAATAAATCTAAGCAGTAAGCTAACATTATGTTGATTACCACCGATGAGCCAAAATAACAAAGTAAATTGAGGTCATCAGTATGTCAGCGAACTTGACTGTCTTAAAATGTCAACAATAGACATTTTAAGCATACACTGCTTAATCCTATAAGGGCTCTTCTTGAGTAGCATACATTTTCCCAAACAGAATGTCTTTCAGATTCTTTTGCACTTTAAACAGTCAAAAGACATGAACTGGAGTTTTATTATGCTAAAGACAGTAAATATTTTCCCTTTTTTTGAGGGAGAGTTGAAGTTGTGATCAAAACAATTATGCTTCTCTCTAAAATAGTTACAAAACATGAGACTGATGTGGCTTTTTTCTTGTTAAGAAGTACAGGTGCTACTATGCCAACAAATACAAATAAAGAATAATTCATTTTATTTTTTACATTTTACAGTTAGAAAGCAAATGAATCCATCTCAGGTACAACTGCTGTACAATCTCATTACTCACCCTCTAGAAACTTTTGCCACAATAGCTAACACTCCTACAGCAGAAATCCACTCTTTTAAAGAGAATACTAGGATTACAAGTATTGAAATGACTATAATGACTTTTTCTTCTAACAGATTAACTTTTTTTTGAACATAAAAAGAGCAGTTATGTTAGTTTATTCAGAAGTTCATTTAACTGTGAGCAAAGACAACTGCAACCTGAAAAAGTGTTTGAACATTGAGTAGTTGCACATTATTTATTGGAGAAGCGAAATAGTTGCAGGCATTGTTCTTAACCACATTGTAGGGTTACAGATGAAAAAGTACAGGATCAATTTTCTTAACACAAGAACTAGTAGATGTACATCCTGACTATGCAAATAATTTTTTTAAAATACGCTTAGGGCATAGCCTTTTTCTTAGATTACATAGGCAAGCTAAGCACTAATATAAATATTAGAAAATGAGACATTAAAAACAAACAACAAAATAAAAATGACAAAAAACCAACTTTGTTTGCAAGATAAATTTATTTTTATCTTTTCAATAATAAAAGGCTATAGACATTTTATCTCTTCTCTCACTTCCAAGAAAAGTGGTATGAATCTGTGTCTGGGATGTTTCTCACAAATGTTGGGTAAGGGTCTGTTTAAGGAAGAGATGTTGGAGTAGGTATCATAGAATCACAGAATGGCCTGAGTTGAAAAGGACCTCAAAGTTCATCTAGTTTCACGCCCCTGCTATATGCAGGGTTGCCAACCACTACACCAGGCTGCCCAGAGCCATATCCAGCCTGGCTCTGAACCCATCCAGGGATGGGGCATCCACAACCTATGTAAGTAGGTAAGGCACAGAAGAATTCTAAACTAAAATTCAAATACAATCATATGACATCTACAATTACAGCTTAAAAAGCAAAACCAGCTTAGTAAAAAGCTGAAATACTGCCTATCCAAATGAAAGAACTGTCAGGGACAACCAAAGTGCTGGGAGGCCTACCTACAGGATGAGAGAGCACTTCCCTCCAACGTTGCTTTAGCGGAAAACCAAAAAGCAGCATTAATCTTCACGTCAATGTGGCACCTTAGGTGCATGAGATTGCCACATTGTGTCTGCTTCTGCTGATGGGGTTTTGACCTGTAACCAGTGACCCTGATGACCAAAACGGAGTATATCTGGGTGGAAAAAATGAAGGTGGAAATGCTGGTGAAGGAAAGTTGCAACTTCTGCTCACAGCTACTCAGAGACAACCAGTTGGTGGTGTATGTTGGAAGGATTTCCTTATTCTCAGGCACACTGGCTTGTTTCTCGAACTTCAGAATGAAAAGAAAAAAAATGAAAAGGAACTAGAGTCACACTCAACAGCCGTTAAGAAGAACGTAATTGATTTTTATACACCGCTGCTTTCTTCTTCTCTAAACCACGGTTTTAAGTAGATTTGAGGCTCTATTTACAGCTCTAGTTACAATCCAGCAGTAGTTGCACTTGCACCCCTGTGAATCTCTACGTGGGCACAGCACAACTTTGTGAGAAAATGCTGTCTGCACTTACCAAAACAGGAGCAACTCCCCAGTCCTCCCAGGGAGCAGCATCCAAAGGGATTAACAAACGAAGAAAACTTCTAAAGAAGAAAAAGACAAGCAGAAAATAGAACTTTCCTTGTTTAAAAAAAAAAAAAAAAAAAAAGAGAAAAAGTTTCTTTAAGCGGTCCCTCGGTGCCTCTGCCCGCGGTCCGACCCGCGGCGCCTGCCCTGGGCCTCCCGCTCCACCGCACTCCACCCAGTGGCTGTGCCCGCGGGCGCCCGGCGGCTATTCCAGCTACGCAGGACAGCACCGCACGCAACGGCCCGGCACCCCCGCCCTGCCCCGCTCCGCCCGCCTTCCCCCGCGGCAGTACCGCTCCCTGCTCCCCATCCGCTCCGGCTGCCGCGCTTGCGCCGCCGCTACACGGGGCTCGGCTCGCCATGTCGGCTTCCTCCTGCTCCTCCACGGCCGCACTGCGGCCGGTCACTCACCTCATCTTTGACATGGACGGCCTGCTGCTGGGTGTGTAGCCTTCGTCCCCCCCGTCTCCCTCTCCCTCCCCTGCAGCTTCCCGGTGCCCCGCTACAAGGCTCTGCAAAGGGCTGAAGGCGGTGGTGGGCAGCCTAAAACGCGCCGCCCCTCAGCCCAGACGCCTCCCGGGCTGTGGGAAGCAGGGCCGAGCGGTCGGGCTGTCCTCGGTGGCAGCTCATTGCCGGCCTCCTCCCCGGCGAGCAGGCGGGCAGCCTGATTGAAGGGATTAAAGCGACAGGAAACGGTGTTTTTCTCCTCCTTCCCGCCATTCTCTGCTACTTGTAGCTACATTCTGCCTGATTTTAAAGCTTTAGAGAGCAAGGGTGCTTGCCCTTAATTTCAGCGTGGCGGTTTGGGAGAGTGGTTGAGAGATTAGCCTGGGGTTAAGGTTCTGCGTTGAGTGCAGAGAGCGCGTTTACAGCTATGGGAAGAAGCCGTGGGCTGTGAGATTTCCCAATCTGGAAAGTGCTACGAGGTCCATGAGCATCCTTTGGGCCTTAGCTATTTAAAGAAGTTGCTGTTTCCTGCAAAAGTCTGGAAACCCCTCGCAAATTTTCTATTATAAGGACTTTATCAGGATCCGAGGATCCTGAAATATCAGCTCTATGCTGCATTTGAATTGGGTCTTGGGGGGTTTGGGTAGTTAGCATAGCCTTTGTGTTTGCTTTAGCTTCTTGCTGAATGGGGACGTCGTACTGCGTGCTTCCTGTAGAATCATGGAATGGTTTGGGAGTAGTTGCTATGTGTTAAAGTAGAAGAAGCACCTTTGGATGTGGGTTAATTCTTAATAAGTGTTATGTTGATGCATGTGCCTCAAGTACGTACTGGGAAAGTAAATTACAACTCAGATTGTTGTAGTTTCTAGGACTGCTGTGAAGTCCAGCGAGTTCTGTTTCCAAGAAATGCCTGTTTTTTCCTTCCTTCTCGTGTTGAAAGGACTAACAGAATTGCCCTGTTTCCAATAAATAATACTTTATCCATCCTTCACCTTATTATAATGTGGTCAATGTCATTAGTATATCATTGTTTAAAACAAAAATAGTTTTGCTCCTATTAGCAGGAGCAGTTACAAGCGATCTTTGGTTTCTTTCAGTTTGTGCCATTTGCAGGCTCAATGCAGTGTGCAAGGCACTGATTAAGATGAGTTGTTTCAGTTTCATTTTCTGGGTAACTACTGGAATCTCAAATAGGCTGAGGGTGTGCTGTTTTATCTAGAAGCAATTAATTTAATTCTTATCTAGAAGCTTCAGGAAACTTTATTTATTTATTTATTAGTGTAATTTTGTGCAGAACTCAACAGAGCAGGGCTGTCTACACAAGCTGTGTGAATATTCAGGCTTTGGTGATATGAATGTGTAAGAATTGTAGATCAGTTTTAAGTGAACTTATTGTGTGCAGGTATTTAAAGGACAGATAGGTTAGCACTGTATTATATTCTGGGATCTAAATACATTTTTTTTTTTTTCCACAGATACTATCCTGTCTGTATTTAGAAATTACATTTCTGTAGCATATCAAACAGGGAGGGGAGGAAGATTCTGAATCATATTGAGTGCTCCAGAGTCCTGGGGTTTATATGTTTATGTGTAAACATATAAATGTGTATGTAAGAAGCATTAAAAATGTTCTAAATTGTGAACTATGCCTCAAGCTGGGAAAGTAAAGTACTAAGAATTCATAGTTTTCAACCTAAGTTTGCCAAGATTGAGGCACTCAAGGTTTAAACCCACTCCTTGCTGTTATTAAATCTGCCTGTTTAAAGTACAGCATCAGATAAATACTTAGTCATTTTCTGGATGGAAGAGTTTATGCATGCTGATAAAATTTATTTTTATCTGTAAAAAATGGGACATCATACGCTGCTGAAGTATTTATTGTTACATATTTTTGCTCCCCTTGTTACTCTTACATTTCATTGAGAATGTAATTTCATTTACGAAGTTACATAGAAAGAACGTGTTTTATTCTGGTAATGTTTCAGCTAGGATGAAAGCCATAATTGTGTGTAAAGTCAAACTGAAAATACTCTTCAGTGTCTTCCAGTACAGAGACATAAAAGGAATGCCACCCTGATGATTTTCACAACATTAACCTCCTTTTGGAAAACTTGTGCATTTCAGCCTCTAAATACTTTTTGTCATGTTTAGAGTTATGTGTGACTAAGTTCTATCACAACTTTAAGATATTTTTCAGTAAGTATGTTTGTTCTATAATAATCCATACAAGGCAAAAGGCAGTCAGTAGACGGCTTTGACTTCCCCAACATGGGGAGGTCTTACTGACTTCCGCCAAGTCTGAGGGGAGGCCTTGTGGCTCTCTTCAAATACCTAAAAGATGATTGTAGTGAGGGTGGGGTTGGTCTTTTCTCACTGATGACAGATAACAGGACAAGGGGAAATGGCCTCAAGTTGCACCAGGGTAAGTTTGGATATCAGGAAAAACTGCTTTACAGAAACGCTTGTGAAGCACTGGAATACGCTCCCCAGGGAGGTGGTTGAGTCACCATCCCTAGATGTGTTTAAAAACCATTTGGTTGTCTTGCTTAGGGATGTGATTTAGCAGAGGGTTGTTAGAGTTAGGTTGGTTGTTGTGGTTAGGTTGTGGTTGCAGTTGGACTTGATGATCTTTAAGGTCTTTTCCAACCTGAGCTATATATACTGTGATTCTGTAATCCTATAAGATTCTATTCTTTATGCTTTAATAAATTTTGAGTAATTTGAAGGGATGAAAAAAGGGATATACATGATATTTTCTTTTTAGATATTTTCTGCCTATCCAGTATACAGTGAATGTTCTTAATGAGACAAGTGAATGTACTATGTAAAGTATGTGAGAAATAAAATACCAGTTCTTAATTTTCCTACTTTTTTATGTGTTACATAAAATTAATTATTATTATTAATTATTAATTATTGAAGATGTTATAATAAATTATGTATTTCTAGAAGCCACAGAATCACAGAATGTCGAGGATTGGAAGGGACCTCAAAAGGGACCTCATCTAGTCCAATTCCCCTGCCTGAGCAGGAACACCTAGATCAAGTCACATCGGAACTTGTCCGGGTGGGTTTTGAATGCCTGCAGAAGAGACTCCACAAGCTATTGGTATCTGCATGAATTATTTTGAATTAGGCAAACTATGTTTTTGGTAACGGATGTCTAAAACTATTTTGTAACTTTTTCAAGTGCTTTCATAATGGGCTACTCTTTTCAGAATCTGAAGCTTTAAATATTGCAATTATTTTCACTCCAAGGTTGTATGTGAAACTATATGTCTGTTTTTGGAAGCTTTCATCTAAATTTCTCTGATTCTATAAAACAAGTATTAATTGATCTATATACAATGTCAAATTGAATGCTGAAGTGATCTAATGTTATTGTTTTCTATAGCTGACATGTGCTTCTCATTGAAGTATAACATAGGAAGGTTTGCAAAGTATTTACAAATTTGCATAACTGTGAGTGTTAAATGAAGTCTAAAGCTCTCACTTGTCTTGATTTGACTTTGGAAACGATCCCAGTGTTCTACCTTAGAACCTGCATCTATATGCTTTATGTAGCTAAAGCTAGGCCTAATGTTGCTGAGTCTAATCTTCTGTGATTTTAACTCCCCCATTGTTTTATCATAATTGACTCTGATTAAGTTGTCCTTGAGTCCCACCTTTATACATCAGCTTACCTTAAATTGTAGTTCCTGAACTGTCTCTGGTTATTTTGGAGTCCTGTATCATTATTTGAAACATTACTTTACACCCTTTTATCAGCACTTATAAGCAGTGTGGTCCATTTGTCTGCAGTTTTCATTTTGGATTACCTTCTCTTTCGCCTTGAGCTGTTGGATGAAATCAGGTTTTTTTTGTTCATCATTCCAGCTGCTGTTGCCAGGAAATTAAAACACTGGAAAACAGTGCTGTCACTTAGTAAATAAAATATGTGAACAGTGCCAGTAGACAGCTTGTTACTAAGTAGGTAAAATTAATCAAAGGGTGTTTTTTTTTTTTTTTTTTTTTTTTTTTTTTTTTTTTTTTTTTAATAGCAAACTCCAGCAGTACATAAGCTGTTACAGGGTAGACAGTGTCTGTACTGGTATGGTAGTGTTATATCCTTCGTGATTGTAGATATGCAGCAAGATTTACATAGCTTGGAAGTGTTGCTTGCTTCACTGTATAATACAACCCCAGAGGAACAGGAATAACTACATTTTATTATTATATATATTCTGCTGAACATTTTTATTTATTTTTTAAAAATCATCACTTTTGTAGATTAAAATTGCTGCTTACTTTCCTGTAACAAAGAGGTTTGAATACAGACAGTATATGCTTAAAATTTGCCTAGTAGGGTTTTTTCTCTTGCTTTATACCTTTACTGCATAAGACTACTGATCTAACTGCTAATACATAGTATATTCAAAACTACTAAACTTCTGTGCATGCTGTACAGAGTTGACTGGCCAAAAAGAAAAAGTCACAACGGAACAGAAAACATTAGTTGGAGATCTTTGATACCTAATTGAGCACTTTATATAGTTGCATTACATACTATCTGATACTGGCATTTTAGCATATTGTAAAAATATGCAAAACCAGTGTTGAAGAAGGAGAAAGGTGGTTAGTGAGGGAAAAATAAGCGAGACACAAGATGGTTGTCAATAGGCAAATGCTGTGAGATCCAGTAATAAATAAAAAGAATCAAAATGGTCATTTAAGCATAAGTAGAATTTAGTTAGCATTGTCAAAACATTGCAGGATGATTCATGATTGGAATAGCTAAAGGTATATGGTTGTATCTGATGCAGAAGCTACTAATGAAAGTAAGAAGGCATGAGGATAAAAAAAAAAACATGCATCATATTCAGGAATTATGTTATTTTGCTCCTACAACACTGTAATAGTGGGATGATATATTTAACGAGACAATTCAAAAAGACTATGCTATTTCCTTTGTTTTGGAAAAAACAGATGAGGTAACTTATTGAATCATGAAGATGC